AATAGCCAAGAGGGGGTGAATTGGTAATTAAAATTTTGGTAGAAGCTTTTGTAGAAAATAGAAAATATTTGCACATCGATTTAGAGTGGTTCGACTTTCTCAACCAAAGTCTACGTCCACTACCTTAGCTATCCACACTAAGGATTTTCCAACAGATTCACTAATTTGTTCTTTCTTTTGAGGACAATGAGTAACCTTACAACTCCCTCAATAATTATACCCCAAATTCTTGAGAACACTCTCTCCCAAAGAGAAATACACAAATTTACAAACTTACAGAAAAACCTCACAAGACAATATGTTTGCACAATTCTAGAACAAAGAAAGAATACTAAAAAATGAATACGATTGAGAAAAATAAGTGTTCTTAAAAACAAAATGAATATTGAATGAAAATGGCTTGAAATGTTCAAACTTGAGGTTTGATGCTTTCTCTTTGATTCTCTAGCTTCTCTTCTTAATCGTTGTTGATCAATGGCTCCTAAACTTGTTTAAATACACCTCAGATCACTTCTGAACATTGAGGATATTGGTAAAGTCAATAGAGCCGTTATTGTGTAATTAGCATTTAAATATCTGGTGGGAGCGTGGGGTGCATCGATGCATAGTCAAGGTATATCGGTATACTATGTGTAAAATTCAAATATTTCGACCGTTATAAGACTTAGTGCATCGGTACACTAGGGGTGTATCGGTACACTAATTATATTCGATGTTTTAAAATGCCAGGAGTGCATCGATGCATGGTCTGTGCATCGATGCATGTTCTGTGCATCAGTACACAAAATGCATTCGATGTTTCAAAATATTCAAGAGTGCATCGATGCATGACTAGTGCATCGATGCATAGCTTGTGCATCGGTACACAAAATGCATTTGAAATGGGTGTGCATCGATGCATCAATGTAGTGCATCGGTACATCACTTTTTAAATTTGATTTTTGGCTCGATTTTGGTTCGAAATACTTTGTAAAATTGTTTCCAAAAATATTTTAAGTTTAAAACACAATTTTACACTTTAGTAAGGATTGAAATTAATCTTTGAAAAACTTGGAGTAATATTTTGATATTCGAGTAATTGAATCGAATATACTTTAAAAATGATTTATAAAATCTTAAAATTCATTTATACTTAATTTGTTATATCGAAACATCAAAATGTTTTCAACATCATCCATCTCTTAGTTTTGATCCCATTTAATCCTTCCTTAAGCTTCTATTAGACTCCATACATCAAAACCCAGCCAAAACCGAAAGAAGAAACTAACCAAGTAAAACTTTACCTTTGCTATGGAGGAGGGATTTTTCCACGGGAAAGAAGCAGAAAAGAGATATAGCTTTTTGTTCCCTTAAATTTCCATTTTCTTTACTTTAATACCCACTAAAAAAAATGAATTTTAAATTCATTCTCCTATAAAAGACCAAAATGCCTTTTTACTTATCCATTGTTACATTTTAGTCTAAACCACTAATCTAAATCATTTCTCATCTTTTATCATTTAATCACATAATCCTCAAATTTTAAGTCTTTTCAATATAGTCCCTAATTAAAATATTTAGGGCATTACATCTACAGTACCCAATCTAAATTAGATGATCAATAGAGTCAAGACACTAAAGATTGATTAAAAAAATAACGATCATTTTTTATATTATTGGTCATCATTTATTTTGTTGAATCTCAATTTATTAATTTTCTTGAACGAGAAAAAAAAGGTAAAAGTATAAACCAAAAATTGATTTATTAAGCAAGTTGAGATTCAAGCTATTATTATTACAATTGAGTAACTTTAGATAGAAAATGTGTTTCCCGAACTTGGAGGGCGTGCATGTATAAAAGAAAATTAGAAATGATCGGAAAGAAAACTAATAACATTTTCGATAGCATTTTTCTTTAGCCGCTTAGGATGTTGTACGAGAGGCACCCTGATCGAAAAGGATGGCTAAAAGTGGAGTTGGTTATGGTTGTAGTTTTTTTAAGGGACTGATAATATTTCCGATAACGTTTGCAATATAGTCACTGAACTTTTTAGGAGCTTGCATTTAGGTCCCCATCTTTTAAAACTTGCAACACAATTCTCAATTTTGTTATGGGACTGATATATCGTGAACGAATTGAATTTTTTTTACATGTTTTGGAAATTTTACAGTTGAATTGTATTGAATTATAGCTTTAGAAGACAATTTTGCATGCACGCAACTCGAAAGACATCATGACAGGGTAGTATATTAGGATCAATTACTTGATCCTGTCATGATGCCTTTCGAGTTGCGAAAGAGTCTGAGAAGTGGATGTGCTGTTTGGGATTTTATTATATTTGATTATCTGTTAGAAAATCTTTAACCACAAGGATTAAATGAAGAAATTATCATATGCCATTTATACAAAATAATTCCAGCTTTGTTGGTGATTTTCAACATTGATACTTAGTTCATCTTAGTAGTATTTATCAACTATGCATTTCTAACCCCATTTTTTTCTCACAAGTATTTCATCGAACATCTATGCTTCACCTGAGATGATATGTATCTAATATTACACCTTGAATCGTTGATGGTCCCGATAGTCCATTGGTCGAGTCTTCTATCAATGAACCCTTATTGAAGTCAACACCTCTACATAATTTAAAGTTAGATTATAATTTCGCATGCATCCATGACTGAAAAGTTACGCTGGAAATGAGAAGAGAGGAGAGAAAAGTGAAATCCGAGATTGAAAAGGAATTTTGGGTTTAGAATGAAATTGAAGACTATGTTGCAAGTTTTAAAAGATGGGGGTCCTAAATGCAAGCTCCTGAAAAGTTCAGTGACAATATTACAAACGTACTAACGGCAGGGACCATATTGCAAACAGACTAAATGTTGGAGGATTGTATTGTAAGTTTTAAAAGCTGGGGGACCTAAATAAAATATTTAGAAAAGTTTAGTGACCATTACTGTACTTTACCCTTTTTTAAATGATTTGATATGTGTTTATAATACTGAAATCACTTTTTACTTTTAAATTAAAATAGAAAGATGTTAAATATTTAAAAATATTTTATTTTATATTCTCTCACACACACACATGCGCGCGCATACACACACACACACATATATATATATATATATTGAATTAATTTAAATAAAATAAATTTTAATTTTAATTTTTTTTGAGTTTGTGTTGTTTTATGGTCAAATTAAATATGTTTAAATCCTCTCAAACTCATTTTTATTTTCTTTAATTTTTATCAATAATAATAAAAATGTTGCATTTTGGATATTAAATGCATTTCATCATATGGTGCCATTTTTTGCATAAGGTAGGTTGCATATTAGTATAGTTGCATATATTAGATATTATAGTATTAGTATTAGTTGCATTGCATATTAAATAATTACGTGTGTTAGATATTAGATAATAATAGGTGCATATTAATTCATGGAGCATTCCATGTGACATTCCATATTAATTCATGTTGCATTTAATGTTGCATTGCATGTTTAATAGTTAAATAACTAGTGCGTGTTACATTGCATGTTATATAGTTTTTAAATAATAATTGCATGATAAGTTAGTGGTATAGTCCATTTATTTTGCTAAATAAATAAATAACAAAACCAAAAAAATAGGTCCATTTGCATTAGTACAAGTCCTTTACATTTGTTTTACATGGAACAATATACAAGCCCACATGCAATACTAATATGTGCATTATAATTAAATAATTAAATAATAATAAAAAGGAAAAAAAGGAAAAAACCCTAAAACTACTCTTAGCCGTCGATTTTGAAAAGCTGTATGGGAGGGGATTGTTTGCTTTGAAATTTGAAAGGGACAAGGCATTTAATGGACCAAACTTTTTAGATACTTATGTCACCTATTTATGATTAAAGGTATAGGTAAATCTCAACCCTTGAATGAAGGCTTAATCCAATGGTTCCTATGTTGTCACATCATCAATCCAAGTGCACTATCAAGGATTAATCTCAACAATTGGATAAAAATAGATTCAATGGTCAAAGAGTCATCTTCTCCAAGGGAGCTAGGGCTTCATCAACGTCCATGGCTGGCTTTAAAATTGATTTAAAATTGAGTAAATACCTTTTCTTTGATTTATATATATTATCTTATTTATTTTTATTTATTTATTTAAATTTATAAATACTTATATATAATAAATGCTTTGTACCTATCTACTTTCTTTCACCCTCGTTCTATATATATAGTCATGTTTTTATTTTATTTATACATTAAATATTTGTATGTATTATTCATTTGCTAATACTAAATATTTTAGCTTTGTTTTTTTCTTTTATTTGGTCTAATTCCGTATGTCAACTAAACTCCTTGATTCTTACCTGTTGTCATTTTTTTATTTATATATTCCTTTTATTTAGCTCATGTTATTTATTGTATCTCATATTTCATATTTAATGTTTATATTCTGTATTTACATAACGAGGGCTATGCATTATAATTGTTTGTTGTTTTGGTATATGTATTTGTACATTACATTTATGTTTTCAATATTTTGATTATATATTATACTTATATATATATTAATATATATGTATGTTAAATTTGATTTATAAGGTATTATGTTTATCTTGTAAATATTATATGCATTCGAATAGTGAGTATTAAATTAATTGATTTAAAATTGAGTAAATACCTTTTGTTTGATTAACTAACGCCTCCAAATACTTGGAGTGTCCTTTCGAGGGTTACTCGAATAAAAGGATATTTCTTTTTATTTCTGTATATTTTATTTAGAAAAAGTTATTTTAATTAAAAAAATAAGTTATATATATTTTTGGGAATATCTCGAACGAAGAGCAGTTCATGGGAAACCTGCAGAATATATGGAGTTCGATTTCTTAAGACGTACGAGTGAGAGAACATCCCGTCAATTTTTAAATCTTAAGAAATAAATATTATGTGTGTCATTTATTTATTTATCTATTTTATTTGTCATATTATATTTGATAATATTATATTTATCAGAGAGCGGAGGTTGCATCAGATGAAGAAGATGGCGAAGAAGAGGAGCCGTTGGATCGGTATAGGCCACGGTGAATACTCTGAGATTCCAGCTGAAAAGGACTTCTTTTCTATCGTTAAAGCTAGTGAGCGAGTTGTTTGCCACTTCTATCGCGAAAACTGGCCCTGCAAGGTACTCTCCTTATATTTTTCTTTCTTTTTGTTCTTTCATAATTATTAATCATGAATTTCGTCCGAATGCTTTATCAAATTTGAGAAGTTAGTTTAATACTTTAATTTGTTAAAATTTGACCATCGTATTGTACTAGAGTTCAGAAATGAGACATGAGTCCCGATGTTAGAGAACACAAACTTGAACCATTAGTTGTTGTTAATTTGTTGCATGTTAAACTAATTGTTTCTGTCAAAGTAAAGTAATTTCTGAGTTTCCATAAAGTAGAGGGATGAATTCATATTTGAACTTTAATCTAATTTCCTCGTTGAACACTGAAATTATCGGAATAAATCAGAAAAAAATTGGAGAAAGAAATGAAATGATGGAATCTAAAAGCAAGCAATTAGTGTAACTTTTTTTCTTCTGTATTTCGAAGTAGATTTGAAGATTAAGGCAAAACAATTCATCTTGTTTGAGTTGAATCCCAGGTGATGGACAAGCACTTGAGTGCATTGGCAAAGCAACATATAGAGACCCGTTTTGTAAATATTAATGCCGAGAAAAGCCCATTCTTGGCTGAGAGGCTCAACATTGTTGTTCTTCCTACACTCGCCCTTATAAAAAATGTCAAAGTCGATGATTATGTGGTATTGTTAATCTTATTTTCAATTATAAACGTTAAGCATCTGTTTTTTTTTTTTTTTATCATTTTGGTTCCACTGTCGCTAATAGTTGATGCGGGTTTCTTTTGTAGGTTGGATTTGATGAGCTTGGTGGAACGGATGAGTTTTCTACCGAAGATTTGGAAGACAGATTGGCTAAAGCTCAAGTCATCTTCTCCGAAGGTGAATCATCGTCGAAGCCTGGAACACAGATGAAAAGGAGTGTCCGACAAAGCTATAATGCCGACTCAACCGACTCAGATTAACCGCAGGTTTGTTTCTATTTATGTTTTCAACGGACGTCAGTAGGATTCATCATCATCATTACATCCTTTTTAAGTATTAAAAGCAAGTGAAGAGAGTAATATTTGTTGTATGAGATCATTCAGTCATTTTGATATATACTCAATCTTATTTTGCTGCAAGTTTGATATGTGCCAAAATGATATTCTGATTCATGATTGTACTATTTATACTCTTATCCATTTTGCATCGAATCATACACTGGGAAAGTTGGATTAACCTTTGTTATTCCATTTCTATTTACAGATATTGCTAATGAGTATCTTGAGAGCAACTTTTAAGGTTATTATAAATACATGTGCATATATATATAATACAACTGAACACTGTGTTTGTTGTAATCCTAAGAATTTTTCCATCAATCCATTTTTCAAAGATTTAATTTTTGTACTTAGAAACTCCAACTTAGAATCTCTTTTTGGGAAACTTCAATTATTAGGTAAGTTCTTCCTGTCACATCATATATGGCCACTACCAATAATATCGTGCCACATAAGCATCTTTTACACCTTGGTCCCTTTTCTGCTAAACTTGTGCTTTTTTCTTGCTGTTCTCCTTCGTTTCTAAATTTCTAACCACCATCCTCGGCTATCTGAGAGAAATAATTATTGATCCATTTGCATGTCTTATTTGATGTATCATTGGTTATTTGAACCAGTTCATTGCTAGGCTCAGAACTTGTCTTTGCTTGATGCTATTAATACCAAGTTCTTGTTGCTGCTTGATTATCTGTGGAAGAACCATTAATGAGACATGGACGTTGATGGAAGCCATGGAACGGCTTCAAGACGCTCAGCGATGCTCACTAACCATCGGCCAGCCTTTACCAACAATGGTAAAATTTTCTTAGTTTACTGAACAAATATTTATGAGTTTTCTCATTGACAATGGAAAATCTTCTTAAAAGATAGTCACATTGCATAATATTATGAAGTGCTGAGGCGTAAAAAATGATTACATGGCATAATTATTGGAAAATATTATTGATTTAATTAGAATATTTAAATGGAAAAGATAATTATAATTTTTTAAGTATATAGACTAAATTTCAAACGTACTCGTAGTTTTAAATTTTAATTACCGTTTTACATCGATAACTGTGAATGTTTTTATTATCTTATTAGCAGTAGTTAAAGTTTTATTTTTATTCTATTTTTATTTTTCACGTGTGCCATAATACTAAGTATTTATAAGGATACTTATCTAATAATATTTGATTCATTATATTAATAAATAAAGTATATGATTTTTAATAAATAATGCTTGATGTGATATTAATATAAATGGTATACTAATTAATTTTGATTGAAAATAATAAATATAATTACAAAGAATAATACTTAATTGTTATTATAAGTAGTATAATATCTAATTTTGAATAGTACTAGGGAATTTGGCATTCAATTATGAATAAGTTTAACGTAGCAAAATCTAGCAGTCCTGCTTTTCAACAAAACATTACTTGGGGTTTGTTTAACATTGCTTCTTAACATAATTTAATTATTTTTTAAGTATAATTAAAAATAAATATTAATTTGACAAAAATAAATAAATGACGATTTACAGATAATAATACCTTTAATTATTGTTTATTTTGTTGATTGAATTTGTAGTAATAAACAATATAATAGTAATAGTACTCTATCCAACGTGCTCGGCACCACAACCGTTATCATCGGTACTGCTCGTCAAGGATAAAAGTTCCATCACCTCATTCGGTACTCGAGTCCTCTAAGGTAGTGTCCCAGCAACAAACACCTTCATAGAAGAAATCAGGTATCTAAGTTAGCGCATCTGAAAATAACATCGGTTTCCATTTCCAATATCGACCCATCAAAAACAATCTTGCATTAGAAATTTAAGCAAGATTGATAATAATACTATGAGCAATAAATGCTGAGGAACCTATGTTTCCTGCTAAAATTTTGGAACAGAAACGAGTTCTTGGACATAAACCAGATTTCATATTGAATAATTTGAAAGTAGATAAAATTCTGGGATAATAATAAGGGAGTGGGGAAAAATGAAGAAAGGGAACGGTCAGAGAGAGAAGAACTGACCAGAAGAGAAGACGGGCAAGATAGTCTCGGGTTAAGGAAATTGACGGCACAATCTTTATTTACAGTTCCACTTGCAGTGTTCTCTGAGATAGGAGGAACCTTGGAATGCATTCTCGGAGAAAGGGTGGCGAGGAGACCATGGACTACAGAGTGGATAGTTTATTTCAGTTCAGGGAATGCTGGTTCGGAAAGCTCGGCTACCTGGAATTATGTTACAGTTTTATTAGCCATGACAGTAGATGATGACAAGTTCGTTAAAGAAGTAGATTCATGAGGCAGGCTAAGCACTAGCTAGACTAGTTCATAAATATCAATTCCTATACAACAGCAGCCATGAAACTGTGATGTGCTCTTGTTATTTATGCCAATTTCCCCTTCATATTAATGAAGAAAAGGCAACGAACTTGAATGGTATTAATTGTAAGGAGATGCTACAAACATGGCATCACGTTAATGAGATATTAGTCATTTAATTTGTTCAAAAAAGTTGAAGAGATCGAGGGAAACCTTTTCTGGTTGAAGTGATCTTAAGTAGTCAAGTAAATCATTCCTTTCCTCCCCAACAAATTGTTGCATTTGCAGAGCATCATTGTTCCTCTTTGCATCATGCAGTTCCTTTGATAGAGACAAAAATGGAAATATGAGCATGCATCCCACCAAATTGCTGATAAGGAATAGAATTGAAAAAAATTTAAATTTATAATAAATTCAAATTAAATATCACGGAAACGAGAGATATTCAATAATTTTAAGAAGGCTCGTTTCTTTGGTGGAGTATAAATAGCATAATGCAATCTGTAAAATTCAACCATTGACCAAACATGGAACATTTCTGCACTGCAAATTTTGAAAAGCCAGACATTTCCGTACCATGGCAATTCTTCTATGGTAGTTAACTCTCAAAATATTCAACTAATAGAGCGATGTTGGGAGAAAGGCATTTATTATCGGAAATAAATTTAATAAAATAAGAGACTGTGACATCTTTTAGGCCTTCCTCACATCTTCTGAATGCTACAAACTGATGCTAATTATGGTGTGTAGTTCTCAATAAATTCACGCATAAAGGTAATGTTTCTCCCGTCAACATATCAAGTAAAACAATATATGGACTTAAAAGGTGAAAAAGAGGATTAGTAAAGGCTCTCTATATATTATATAACATACCTTTTTCACTGAAGCTAGACGAGAATGCAAATGGAGAACGTATTTACGAGTTTCAGGGGACATTTCACCCAGGCCTTCAAATTCAAAATCTTTGAATTAGTTCTCTGTGATTTTTTCAGATTCAGTTGACAAATTTGGATATTCTTTTACTCTTGTACTGTCTGACAACATCTCTTGTACATCAAAGTTTGACTTTTCTGAAGTTTCATGTTTCAAACCTTGACCACAGCCAAGGCTCTTTCAAGGCAAAGCCTATATTCAGCATTCCTCAGTGTATAACTGCAATTAAAGAAGAACCATTTTTCATGATACTCCCAATACGAAGACAGGCATCTATTTGAAGGGAAATGCTACTCCGCACGTCTTTTGGTACATGAAACTTTTAAACTTGTAATCTTAGCATCAAATTATCAAAACTAATCACATTCTTAATTCACATGTGAAATTGATTTTTCCCTCATTAAGAAGAAATGGTATGTAACTGTGAAATATAAACATGAAAGCTATAAATCTGGTGCTTTGACTTTCAAGTTCAAGTGCCACTCAACATGCACGTATAGAGACAAGCAGAGAGATTTGAAGCCCTTGGAAAAGGATTTCCACACTTGGCAATGAACCAATGTAAAAAATAATTACTAAAATGGTACATATCATGTAGATATGAACATACCCAGTCATCATAGAAGAAACCAACAACTTGGACAGAGGTTCCCACAGTGTCTCGATACAGACTTGAAACCTATCAGATGGAAGTAAACCCAACATGCCTGAAATAGTCCTTTTCATGGCATCCACGGTTGTGTGGGGGGACATCTTTATGGATAAGGCTAATGTCCAATGGTTCTATATCTTGTATCAGAACAGTGAGGACCGACTTCGGAAAGAAGAAGATAAAAGTCAATTTCTAAATTGTTACCAGAAAGCACTTCCGAATATAATGTATGCATCCATTAATTTGAGACATATAAAGAATCATCCTTTGTTAATTATTGTCAATACAAGGATTCACAACAAGTGAACAACAGCTCAAATATGTTGGTCAAATTATTCAGAATAGTCTGGCAAATAAACAGGAGCATTATCGTGTGAAAGTAAAACAAGAGAGTCAGCATCCCAGCTTATCATCCAAACCATCATTGGCATTTTAAGCTCATCCTTTTACAAAATGTGGTTCATTCATTAATAACCCACCACTTCAAGTTGGCAATGATTTTAATTTTTAAGTGGAAATGTTAAAGTTGAGGTATATGCATATCCCCAAAGTATTCATTAGCCAGGTTCAATGATCTCAATAAGAATACGTTCTGTACCAAAACTGAAGCAAACTTCAAAAGACATAAATTGCCTCCCAACAATAGTCCATGAAGAGGTTCCAATTCTTTTCAGACCACATTTTCAAGAGATAATTAAATAGGATTATCTAATTAGAAAAACATAATTCAAATCGGCTATATCTATATAGTTAATCTATAAACATAACATGAGCATCCAATTTAATGAGTAATATATAAGGCAGAACCGAAGAACTTAATCTCTAGTAAGTAAAAGACAACACTAAAATGTAATATCACATAAGTTTCAATTCTCTAGGCTTCACCATTTTCCTCATCCCAATAAGTAAAAATCTAAATTCGGTACCATAATTCTGCACATCTAGCCATATTTTCTCAAAAAAAAAAAAAAAAAAAAAAAAGAAAGAAAGAAAGAAGAAGACAAATCTAAAATAATCCTAAATCAATTCCGTCCGCGTTGCATCATCAGCATAGCAAAGCAGAAATTCTTAAACTAAAATCAGCAAAACGGATCTAAAGCGAGCAATTAGCCGAATCCTCACTAGTTCAGATCCATAAAAACAAATGAATCTGATATAGAAAAGCTGACCTTAGAGGGAGTAGGATTGGAGCCGGATGCATTGAAACTATTGGAAGATGAAGCAACGAAAGGAGTAATGGGGAAATTTCCAAGGTTGGAAGAGCGAAGAGAGGAAGGGAAGAAAAAAGAACGTGTTTGGGGAGAGAAATAAGAGGAAAGAGAAGTAGCCATAACTGGTTGAATTATTTTGCCACCTCCACGACTACTTCCTCTTTCTCTCTCACTTTCTCTCGGCGCCAAACAAGTTCTTTTCTTTCACTTTCCTTTCACTCCTGAGCAGTAACGGCAACCACAATTGCTTTACCAGAAGGAAACAAATCGGAAAACGTTACGATCGACGTTAACACCGTCAAATAGTCACCGCTCAACGCAGATACATTGGCGTTTTATAGTTAGCTTTTAGTTTAATGCTATCTTAGGCCCTTAAACTTGTCCCAAAAAAAACAATGTTACCCTTAATTTTTTTTCTCAATGTCACCTTAAATTAAAAATTAAATTAATTTGATCTTTTGATCAAATGAAATGGAACATTGATCATTTTGATACTGACATCATGGTTTATGATTGTTGAAAATATTTTGATATTTCGATATAACAAATTAAGTTAAATGAATTTTAAGATTTTCCAAAAAGATTTTCTAAGTATATTCGATATAATTATTCGAATATCAAAATATTACTCCAAATCTTTCAAATGTTATTTTTAATCCTTACTCAAGTGTTAAATTAAGTTTTAATCTTAAAATAATTTCAAAACAATTTTACAAAATATTTCGAATCATTTCAAAGCCAAAAATTCCAGATTGCTCAGAGGGAACCGATTCCCCCCCAAGGGGTACCGATTCCCCCTGAATGGTTTGGCTCCGAGAAAAATAGAATGCTCGGAGGGAACCGATTCCGCCCTAAGGGGGTACCGATTCCCCCTGTTTAACGGTCAAAATATTTAAATTTTACACTTAGGGAACCGATTCCCCATGAGGGGGTATCGATTCCCCCCACGCTCCAAGCATAAATATTAATTGTTTTCACACTTAAACGGCTCCAATAACTTCATTAATGATCCCCAACGTTCATAAGTGATTCAATGTGTATTTAAACAAGCTTAGAAGCCATTGATCAATAACAAGAAACAACAAGCAACTAGAATCAAGAGAGAACCAAAGAGAAAGCATCAAACCTCGAGTTTGAGCATTTCAAGCCTATTTTTCATTCAATATTCATTTTTCTTTCAAGAAAACTATTTGTACTCAATTGTATTCATTCTTGAGTGTTCTTTTCTTTGTTCTAGAATTGTGCAAATTTGTATTGTTCTCTTTGGGAGAGAGTGTTCTCAAGAATTTGTGGTATAATTCTTGAGGGTTTGTAAGGTTACTCTTTGTCCTCAAAAGAAAGACAAATTAGTGAATTTGTGGAAAATCTTTAGTGTGGATAGCTAAAGTAGTGGACGTAGACTTTGGTTGAGAAAGTCGAACCACTCTAAATCGTTGTGCAATTACTTTCAATTTTCTGCAAAAGCTTCCACCAAATTTTTAATTGCCAATTCACCCCCTCTTGGCCGATTTCTTCAATCGATTAACTTAACAATTGGTATCAGAGCCTAACTCTTTTGAAGGTTTAATCGTCTCTTGAGTTGATTCGAGAAGAGTTACATCGATAATCAAAGTCATCAATGGCCTCCACTTCAAACTTCAACCCTGGTCTCGATTCGATGCCCGTCAACAAGCCTCCTTTCTTCAATGGGGCTAACTATGCCTATTGGAAAAATAGGATGATGTACTTCATTCAAGCAAGTGACATGGGAGCATGGAATGTTGTAGAAGACAGATATATCAAGCCTCTTACTCATCCAAGAATGTAGAGTGAAGGAGAGACAAGATTGTTCCAGCTCAACTCTAAAGCCATTCATATCATATTTTGTGCTATTGGACCAGATGAATATGGAAGAGTTTCATATTGTACAACCGCCAAAGAAATATGAGACAAGCTTCAAGTCACTCATGAAGGTACCGATGAGGTAAAAAAATCTAAAATTAGTATTCTAACGCATAGCTATGAAAATTTCAGGATGAAACCAAATGAAGATATCAAAGCTATGACGGATAGATTCTCAACGATTATCAATGGTCTCAAATCATATGGAGAGATCATTTCAAATGAAAAGCTTGTGAGGAAGTTAGTTTACTCCTTTCCAAAATCATGACAATCAAAGAAGACGACAATCATCGAGTCTAAGGACCTAACATCCTTAATTCTTGAAGAACTAATCGGTTCCCTCCTCACTCATGAAATGATGGTTGAAGATGAGGTAGACCTCGATTAGATTGAAGAGACACCAAAGGATAAGGAGAAGAAGAAAAATATTGGAGTTGCTCTAAAATCCACAAAAGATGAGAGTGATTCGAATGAAGATGACGATGACGAGGAAATGACATTGTTTGCTAAACGGTTCAGAAAAATGATGAGACCTTACCGAGGAAGAAAATTCAAACGAAATGAAGGCCTAAAAATGAACCAAAAGAGAAGGACTTGATCATTTGCTATGAATGCAAAAAGCCGGGGTATGTCAAATATGATTACCCACAATTGAAGAGAAGGTTCAATCAAAGAATAAACACAAGGCTCATGTGGCTACATGGAGCAATGAAGAAGGTTCCGATGAAGAGGAACAAGAAGTAGTAAACTTGTGCTTGATGGCATTCGGGGAAGATTCTAAGGTAACCTCTAACTCATCTGATTTTGATGATTTATCCTATGATGAGCTATTAGAGAAATATAATGGGTTGGCTTCGGATTATGAGAAATTGTTTTTAAAATATAAAAATGATGTTTCAAAATTGAAATTGAAAACAACTCATATCCAAAACCAACAACGATCTTGAAAGTAAAATCAAGATTTGCAAATCAAACTAGAAGAGTTTGAAAAGAAAAATTTGGATTTGCAAAATTTACTTTCAAAGGTCAATGATGATCATCAAAAGAAAATTGATGGTCTTAAACTTCTTTTGATAAAGTTGGAACAAAAACGTTTTGAAAAAGGAGAAAATTCAAAATCCAACTTTGTTAGAAAAGATTTTAAAAACTACAATCATAGAGGTCCCCAAAGAACCTCTAATAGA